CCCCCCCCCCCCCCCCCCCCCCCCCACCCCCCCCCCCCCAAACCCCACACCCCCACCACCCCCAAACCCCCAACCACCCCCACCCAACCCTCCCCCAAACCCGCCCCCCCCCTCACACACACCCAACACGCACCACCCCCCGCACCCCCCCCCCCCCCCCCCCCACCCCGGCCCCCCCTTCCCCCCCCCCCCAACCAACACCACAACCCCCCCCCAAACCCAACCAACCACCCCACCACCCCACCCCCTCCCCCCCACCCGCTCCCCCCACCACCCACCCCCCCACCCACCACACCACACCCCACCCCTACACACCCCCCCCTCCACCCCCCCCCAACCCCCACCCCCCCCCACCCACCCCCCCCACCCCACCCCAACCCCACACGACCCCCACCCCCCCCCCCCCCCCCTCACCCCCACCCAACACCCCACCCCCCCCCCCACCCCCCACCATCCACAACCAAACACCTCCACCCACCCCCCCCCCACCCCCCCCCACCCACCCCCACACCCAACACCACACCCCTCCCCCCGCCCCACCTCACCTCCCCCCACCCTCGCCCCAAAACCCCCACACCCCCCCCCACCCCCACCCCCCCCCACCACACCCCCCACCCCCACCCCCCCACCCCCCCCCCCCCTCACATCCGCAAACCCCCTCCCCCCCCCCCCCCCAACCCCCCCCCCCCCCCCCCCACCTCCCCCCCCCCCCCCCCCCCCACCCCCCAATCCCCACCCCCCCCCAAACCCACCAACCCCCCCCCCCCCCCCCCAACCCCCCCCCACCCCCCCCCCCCCCCCCCCCCCGCCACCCCCCCCCCCCCCCCCCCCCCCCCCCCCCACCACCCCACACCCCACCGCCCCCCCCCCCCCCCCCCCACACACCCCCCCCCCGCCCCACCCCCCCCCCCCCCCCCCCCCCACCCCCCACCCCCCCCCCCCGCCCCCCCACCCCCCCCCACCCCCCCCCCTCACCACCCCCCCCCCCCAACACCCCCACCCCCACCCCCACCCCCCCCCCCCCCCCCCCCCCCCACACCCCCCACCCCGCCCCCCCCCCCACACCCCCTCCCCCCCCCCCACCCCCCCCCCTCACCCCCCCCCCCCCCACCCCACCCCCCACCCCCACCCCCCCCCCCACAACCCCCCACCCCCCCCCACCCCCCCCCCCCCCCCCCCCCCCCCCACCCCCCCCCCCCCACCCCCCCCCCCCCCATCACCCCCCCCCCCCCACCCCCACCCCCCCATCCCCAACCCCCCAACCCCCCCACCCCCCCCCCCCCACCCACCCCCCACAACCCCCCCCCCGTCATACCTTTTCTCATTTTCATCATTCGTTTAATCCCCAAATAACAATGTGCCAACCCTCTGAAGGATGACGGACGAACGTGAACACGATACCGACGAAGTACTCGTCGCCCAGTCGAAATAACTCGACATATATTATTTGACGAACCGTTAACAGGCTACTGCTACCTTCATTCAGAGTTGAATGAAATGACTCTAGAATGATTACCATCAATATCTCAATATTCCTAAGCCCAAGAGGTTAAGCAGAATCCCATCGGATGAAAATTAACAACAAGATGAGGAATTGACTAACACTGTGACCATTAGTTTTAAAGGAGTCGACTGCCAGTCACATTGACCACTGAACGCACAATTACTTTTACGAAGTATTGTGCCACGAACCCTATTAAACCGTCCCTCCAGAAATCCAATGTAGACCAAGCGTTCGTATAAGACCGAACACTACATTAAAGAACGAACGCTGGGTAAGAGACCGGCACCATTTAAGAACAACGCTTGTACAAGACCGAGCGCTATTTAGGACGAACGTTCGGTATAAGACCGAACGTTACGTATTTTAAAGTTTAAAGTATTTATATACAGCTGAGCTGAACCGAACGCTCAGACATTTAAATGGGGACGCTCTTCTCGAGCGGAGTTCTTTCCAAATGAAAGAATTCCATTCTAAGTTATTTTCAGGGAAATCGAACGGTATAAGACCGTACGGTGACGAGCGTAATTTATCATAGGGAGTGATTTACGTTTCAGATTTTTCAACCATAACAGATTCCAGATTTCAACATTTCAACTTATACTTTATGCTTCATATGATTTTCAATTTATAAACTTTATAACATTCATTCCAATTAATTCATATTCAACATCATCATACATATTTACTTCATACAACATAAATATCCATGTTCATAATCACACATCTCAATCATCATACATCATGCATTCGCATTCATACTGCATACATACATTTCAGTCATCAACATGCATACGTTTTCAGCAAACATACAACAGCGTATGAATTAAACCAATAAGCTTCCCTTACCTGGATAGCAGTGTACTCCCAAAAAGACAAGGTTTAGTTCGTCCTCTAACAGCGTTCTACCCTCAGGTTTCGCTCAACAATTTTCACTTAATCTAAAACACCAGAAATCAGAAGCAACTCAGAGCTATAACCTATGCATGCAACCAAACTAGGGTTCGCATGAAACCAAATGGACGAACGGTTAGCGACTAGAACTTACCAGTTCCGATCCCAATTCTGTTCGGTCCAGAATGACGTTCACGTCTCCAGGAACGTTTCTACGGTGCTGAAACGTGATCGGAGTAGAAGCGTGAGAATTACAGTAGAGAGAAGTTGGGAGGTTCTAGAGAGAAGGTGGAGAAAATGAGGTTTGGGTTTTCGTGAGGAAGAAGGTGAATGCAGAGAGTGAGAAGAAATGTTTTCAGAAAATCATTTTTCTTCCCAACGTCAAACGAACGTTCACTCTCATGCAGACACCTGTTTTCCACTGCAGAATCAGAATGTTCTAACGTGACAATTGGCAGGCGTGCAGCAGAGAATGTGAGTGCGTTTTAATGAGACTGAGTGTGTGGCTCGGTGCATTTATGGAAGCAGTCAGGTGATTCAGCAGTGCATTAATAACAGATTTGACATGATAATTATGGTTTAATTTTCCGAGGTCTCACAAATACCATTTATACAAATAATAAATATGGTTATCTTTTAATTAGGACTAAATTTATTATTTGTATAAATATTATACTAATATTTATATTAAAATTTATTATAAAAACATGATTAAAAAATCATGAGTTAATAATATATAATAATATGTAATATGTTAAAAAGTTATTTTTAATAAAAAAAAATATCAGCATAACATTTATACAAATAACAAATTTGATGAAGGAGACAATATTATTTTATTTAAAAAAGTTAAGACTAAATTGAATCAGAAAAAACATATATAGAATTAAATTAAAATCAGACCATAACACTTGACACTGTCACACCAAAAAATAACAACAACAAATTTTGTAAAATTTAAAAGAAATATAAATTAAGACGTGACATAACGTTAATAACATTAAAAATAATTTTAACCTAATTAAGATAATTATTTTAAAAATAGACAAAATTAAAACAAAAAAGAAATGGAAGGCTATAACTTGAAACTTTTTAATCAAAAGAACTATTCAGAAAAAATAATTTCGATGCCGGTTTTTTGTGTTGATGGAACATTATTTTGATTTATTCCTACCAGATTTCGTTCTGACTGTGAATCATGTAATTGAAGTTTTTGTTGTTTTGAAGATGGTTGATCCTAGAATGCAATAATGTGAATATAAATTTAAATATTATATTTATTATTCAGTGTTACTTGTTTTTTAAAAGTTTTCTTTCTATCAAGTGTGAGTCGGGATCGGAAGAAAGAGTGAATATGTTCAAGGAGTGGAACATCTAGAAGGCCATGGAAAGGAAGGAAAATATTCTAGGATTGTTGGCCTTTTTATTATTAGAATGTTTTATTATAAATTGAGAAAATAATTATTTGTTATATAATATTATGTCATGAAAAAAAAGTTATATGGGTTAAAAGAAAACATAAAGAACTAATAAAGCGAATATAACGACGAAGAAGGAGAAAAAGAAAAAAGAATCATTTTTAATGTCGATTTGTGGAATTAATTTCTAATTTTCGTTAAATATAATTATAACAAATAGAGCCACTGAAATTGACCAAGCATTTTCTTTTTGTTCAGGAAACGTGTGGAAAGCACTGTTTCTTCTTCCGATTAAGCAAAAATCGTATAGGGGAGAATGACTTCAGCTACGTCCTTCATGAAAGTACGAAATTAAGAAAACTATTATTCTTGAACAACTATTTCAAAATAATAGTAATACTAATGTCTTGTTCTTTTGAGTGAATTTGAGGGAGTGGATTTGTAATAATTTTTGTTGTCGTTTATTTGAGTGAATTTGGAGGTAAATGAGAGTAAATTTAGAAATAAAATTTGAAAGAATTAGTATAACAATTGTATTAACGTGACAAATTAAAAAAAATTATTTTCAAATTCACTCCCATTTACCTTCAAATTCACTCAAATAAACGACAAAAAAAATTATCTTCAAATCCTCTCAAATCCACTCTCTCAAATCCACTCAAAACACTCAAAATAATATAATAAGCCCTAAGAGTTTGAGTATATAATTCTGACATCATATTATATTAAAAAAATTTAATCAAGTGTATTTAATGCAGAATACATAAATAACCATTGAAAAGAAAAACTGAAAAAAAATAAAAACCATAACAAATATTTATATACGTAATCTGTTAACAAAAAAACATCAAATTCAGTGGTATATCACTAATATTAAAACTTTATGATAGAAGCCCCCCAAATTCCCCAAGAACCTATTTATTTTAAAAACCTTTTTTTTTTTTAGTTTTATTTTAACGCTAAATTCATGCCAACATTTAGAAACAAAACAAAAAAACTACAATTTCTAACTTTATTGTATTTGCAGCTGCACGAGCTCTTTCTCCTTCCTTGTAACCCTTGGCACTTCAGAGCTTGTCAGTGTCGGTATAAGCCATTGACAGCAGGATGAGCAGCAAAATTTTCAGACCATCGGGGATCAAGCCAGGGTGCTTGTTTTTCATCAATCATTTTCCTTGCATTCATCTTTTCCACACTCTGATCCAAACTCAGATAGCATCCAAAACCAATATCACATAATCCAATGGTGTCTCCTCCGAAAAAGCCTTTCCTTCACTGCCCTTGTTCATCACTTCTTCCATCCTCCTCAAACACTTCTTCTGCTTCCTTAAACTCTGCCTCCTTTCTTCATCATTCTCTTCAGCCATTAGAATACTTCTTAAGGCCTTCAACCACCTACACTCCCAGGTCAAACAGTAGTACTCATTCACATGAGAATCACATGAAACCTTAGTTATGATGATAACTAAGTTTTCATACAACTTAAAAGGAAGAAAAAGCTAACACACACATATATGTATATGAATACCTTGTCATCGATATAAGCAACCCAAAATCGGGCATTAGCTCGATCATAGGCATTTTGTGGAAGGATGGAGGGAGCATGGGTCCAAACTTCATCGATGTATTCGACTATGATTGCAGATTCACATATGGGTTTATCTGCATGGATGAGAACTGGGATTTTCTTGTGCACAGGATTTGATTTAAGAAGAAGTTCACTTTTGGGATTAAAGGTCTCTTCAATAACCTCATAATCTACACCCTTCAGGTCAAGGGCAATCTGCACCCTTAGAGAAAAAGGGCTGGACCAACCACCCAAAAGCTTCAAGTCGTTTTTAGCCATAACTATGCACTGTAATGTGTTTGTTATTTGATAGATTTTAAGTGTAAATAGATATGAGAAGGCAGGTTAGAAAACTAACTTTTTAGATGCAGCAAACCAATTAATAATCAACTCAAAAGTTGAGAGGTGATACACATTGGTGTTAGGTAGTAGTGGGTTTGAAAAATTATTGTACTAATTCAATGGGAGAAAAGTTAGTTTGACACGGATCTTAAAAAAACATTTATATTTTTACAAACTAACTTTTAAAATAAATAATTAATAATAATATATATTATGATTTTAAAATCGAAAAGTAATATCACTGTAATAAAAAATTATTTGACCGAGTCAAATGACGAGAGGTGATGTGATTTTTGATTTTAGAAATGTATCTATAATTCCTCTTCGTTCAGAGTCATTCTCCTTCTACCTCACCCTTTTTATTATGTATTCCTAATTTTACGTTTTTATCCTTTATTTAATAAAATCAAAACATAATTAATAATTATTTAATAATATTTTAATCACCAACAATTTTTCTAACTATCAACAATCCAATTTTTGATTGTATGAATCTTTGCACTCCTCTTCGTGGTTCCATTCTTTCACTCATTGTAGCATAGCATTTTGTTCACTTCACTATTACTAGCATTTTGTTCACTGAACGACTAACTGTTTTGAGTTGGTGGTTCTGATTCGTGGTGGTGGTGATATGTGCTTGTGGTGATCCTTGGTGGTGGTGGTGTTGTGGCATTGGGGAAAGAAGAACGTCTTGAGAAAGCTCGTAAGTTAAAATTTCAATTAACCCCTTAACCGCACTTGGATTCATATGGTTTTAGATTCGTTGTCGTTCGACGCCGTTTATACCCAACCGCACTTCTGCGACCTTTCATCGATTTTCAGCTTCTGTGTCCCTACCTCTTCTATGGACGTTGCCCGTACCAACCGCCTTTCATAACTTCCGCATGTGCGCATTTTGAAGGGTCGCCTTCCAAGTGTTGTTTGTCACTGTGCAGCCATCAATTTCCCCCTGTTCCTCTAAATGTTTTTTATTTTATGTATTTGTTATTGATTTTTTTTTATTTATTGTGTTAGTTTTTTTAGTCATTTGCGTAGTGTGGGTGTTCTCAGTTATGAATGACCTCTATTTCACGAAGGTTGAGGAAAACCTCCTGGGTAATTTTGAGCTTAGTTGATTTTCAACTTTTTGTGCGACTGCTTTCATGTTATTAGTATTTTTAGAATATCGTCGATTGCTTTCATGTTCTTAGTATTTTTAGAATATCCTCCGTTTGGTAGATCTTTGTGCTCAGTGACGGGAGAATTCAAACCTGTTGTAACCCGTGATGCTTGTAAAGCCACTTGTCTGGCAACTTGCATGAGTGTGCATAGCAACATATAGTTTTTGTCATTGGTTTTTGTCAGCTACGTGAAATCAACTACTTATTTGTGTAAGCCTGAGTTGGATGGGTTATGAAGTTTCCAATAGTGAAAATGTTAGTGTCCATTGTAATCTTCATACCTTGTGTCTTAGATTGGTCCCCCTATTCTTCTCCACTCATGTCTCATCATTCTTTTGCCTTCTCCATCATCCCAATGTCCTTCTCTAATTATCTTTATTTTGCCCCTTAGAAGAAGCTAATAGTATGGTCCTTTTGTAATTGTATCTTTTGATTTCTGTATTATTGGTGCGGCTTTAAGACGAGAAATGTAGTATATTTTGATTCTGAAAATTGGACTTAAGGTCCACTTGGGAAAGAAAAATAGTCTATCTCATTACATGAGCATAATAATCATTTCTAGGTCTATAAATATAAGCTTTCACTAAGAACATTGAATGTTTTTAGCTTAAACAACTTCTCTATAGTTTGATTTTAATTTTAAAAGTTTTCCTTAATTTTTTATTTATTATTTGTTATTTATTAAATTTTAATATTGTAATATTTATTGTAGGTCGTATTTAATTATATAAGATGGATAACTATCTATTTTTCGATTCTCAAATAAATTCTGATTTTATGTCGGAGTTTTCTTCTTTTCTAAATGAAGTGGGTGAGGGTAATTACACAGATCAGTTTTCCACTGATCAAATATTCCCATCACACAGCAGTTGGTGATGTTGTTAGATAGAGACAAATACATTCAGAGAAGTAAATGTTTGGACGATTCTGACGTGGTAAGTGACCTGTTTTGGACACATCCTATTTCAGTGCACTTGGTCAATTCATTTAATATTGTTTTCTTAATGGATATGACGTGCAAGACGAACAAATATCGACTTCCGTTGCTGGAGATTGTTAGAGTCACATCAACTGGTTTTACATTTACAGTTGCCTTTGCATTGCTTTCAACTGAACGCCAAAATAATTTCACTTGGGCATTGGAAAGGTTCAAAGGATTATTATTGACATCATAGGGCGATCCACGCGTTATTGTCACTGACAGCAACCTTGCTTTGATAAATGCCATTAGTAATGTATTTTCGGAGATGTATAAGATGCTATGTACATTCCACATTATGAAAAATGTTAAAGCGAAATGCAAGATGTTAGTGGATAATGTTGAGGCATGTGATGTGTTGATGAAAGTGTGGCAAAATGTCATGGATTGTGACGACCAGTCGATGTTTGGTGCTTATGTTCATTGTCTTGAGTATGCCTCTTCTGCATGGCCTCTATTTTTTTATTATGTCAACCGCACTTGGATAATTCCGTACAAGACATACTTCGTCAAGGCGTGGACGAACAAAGTTATGCATCTAGGTAACACTACAACAAATAGGTAATTTTTATTGTCAATTTTTTTACTTATGTGTTTCATATTTGTGTCTAATGTATTAATGTGTTTTGTGACAGGGTTGAGTCTGCGCACTGAATCTGAAGAGATTATTGGGATCTAGTATGGGAGACCTATGCTCCCTCCTACAACATAATAAGATCAAGGCGTCCTTTGAAAAAAGTCTTAACGTAATGAGTGATGCTTACAAAGGATTGAGTTATAGAAGACTTGTTGGACGTGTTTCACGATACGCTCTAGGACTTATTGTTGATGAAATTGAGCGAGTGAATCAAATAGGTATGGACAGTGCTCGTTGTGGATGCATTTTGA